CCTGGAAGTGGTGGAAATCGTAATCCGGACGTGGCAGCGACGACGAATAAGGTGGCGGTGAAATATAAGCGGAATCCTAACCTCTCCATCCGGGACGTCGCTGGCAAGCTCAATGTCTCCCATACTACTGTGCAACGGGCCAATAAATGAGCCGGGTTGTCGATGTTTAAGAAGGTGAAGGTGGCGAACCGAGATTACAAACAAAACACGTCGGCAATGCAGCCGTCCCGAAAGCTGTATACGAATCTACTCACAAAGTTCGACTGTGTTGTCATGGACGACGAAACTTATATGAAGGTGGATTTCAAGCAGCTTCCGGGACAGGAGTTTTATACCACATCAGGAAAAGGGAAGATGGCTGAAATTTTCAAAACCATCAAACTATCAAAGTGCCCGAAACAGTATCTCGTCTGGCAGGCCATATGCACGTGTGGTCTAAAAAACGGTATTTTCATTACTACGGGAACCATCAATCAAGAGATCTACGTCCAAGAGTGCCTGGAAAAGCGGCTGCTACCATTCCTAAAGCAACATAATAGACCTGTGCTGTTCTGGCTGAACTTGACGAGCTGCCACTATGAGAAAACGGCAATCGAGTGGTACGATGCGAACCACGTGGTTGTGGTACCCAAAAACCACAACCCTCCCAACACCCCAGAACTCCACCCTATCTAACGGTATTGGGGTTTGGTCAAACGGAATCTAAAAAAAATAAATAAATAAATAAATCCATGGAAAACGAGCAGCAGTTTAAATCTTACTGGCGTTCGGCGGCGAATATAAATTGAACTACCAAAAGAAAAATAAGATATGTGATATGAATTTTGACTGAGAGAAACGATTTTTTTGTCGACCAATTTTTGCGCGTTCCAGTCTTTTCAAACGCTCACTGGATACAACAAATATATGTTCCAAGTGTACCCTTCAAAAGAAGACCAGCCAAAACTGGGAGGAGCGAAGAATTCAGAAAATTGTATGACGCAAAACCTCCACATACTTCGAGGAATATTCAAAGCTTGAGACAATTAGTCAAAACAAAAAACCCGGTTATTGTCCCAATTTCGTCAAGGGGCTCTCACGAAAAACGTCAATGAACACCTTGTGGAGGGTGGCTCGCAACATGCGTAACCGCTCATCTTCCAATGAGAGCGAAGAATGCTCCAACCCATGGATGTTCGATTTCACTAAAAAGGTCTGTCCGGACTCAGTTCCTGCACAACATATTCTTCGAGAAGCGTCTCCGAGCGGCAACTCTCTGGATAGACCATTCACAACGCTGGAATTTTCTATGGCTCTTCTTTCAACGAACAACTTTTCACCGAGAAGCGAAATGATTTAATTCAATCTTCTGAAAAATCTCCCAGATATCGCTAAAAGACGCTTGCTAGACTTATTCAATTCCTTTCTAGAAAATAAGAATATACCGCCTGAATGGAGACAGGTCAACGTAATAGCCATGCAAAAACCTGGCAATCCACCATAACTCATACCGTCCGATTGCTATGCTTTCGTGCATTAAGAAATTGTTGGAGAAAATGATCCTTTGGAGACTCGATCACTGGGTTGAATAAAGTAACTTGCTTTCAAATATACTGTTTGGGTTCCGCAAGAGCAAAGGAACATACAATTGTCTAGCGGTGCTTTTCACAGATATTAAACTGGCCTTTGCAAACAAGGAGCAATTGGTTTCAGTATTCTTGATCGCTTTTGATTCAGTTTCCAATGTAATTCTGTCAGACAAGCTGCACAGAAGTGGACTTTCTGCAAAGACTATTTTTTTTTTCAAGCTTAATACATTTTTTACCGAGCCCCTTATATTATGGAACAATAAAAAATAAATTAAAAATAAATAAAATATGGAACAATAAAAAATAAATTTTTGCCATGTTTAATGAGTGTACGATAACATCGTTGAAAATTATTTCAATAATGTATGCAAAACAATCATATAAGATGTATTTTATTGGGAGCGATATTCATCCCAAAAACCATGCCAAAACAAATACTTGCTGTTGGTTTTCTTAAAAGCCAAATCTATATGGCTATCTAATGATTGGGATAGAACTGTTTACAATCTACAAACGTCAAAAGCTTTCGAAGATAGCGATTCTAATGACATATACATGTTTTTCTTTAGTGCAAACTTAAATGACTGTCCAATAGTTTCTACAAGTCTGTTTACACGCGACATTTCAACAAACGTCAAACAAGTTCATCACGTTCAAAGCAAAGGAATGTCATGTACTCAGTATGTGAAATTACGATAGAAATCATTACATATCGCAGTCACAGTTTTTAAATGATAATCCATCAAATAGAAGCAGTGATGGATCGCTGTTTTTGGACTTTTTCATTACTATTTAATATAGAATGCTTACGTTAAATCAAATTGAATTTTCAGCTTACTCATCTTAAAATAGATAGTTTAGGGATAGGGAGAAGCTTTCCTTTCATTCCCATTATGCGTTGATTTTTTCCAAGGCTAATCGTCAACTTGGCTTCATCTCTAAGATTGCCAAGGATTTCACTGATCCACAATGTTTAAAAACATTGTATTGGTCAGTCGTAACGCCGATCCTAGAAAATGCTTCAGTTGTATGGGCTCCAAACGACGTAACATGGAACCTAAGAATCGATCGTGTGCAAAAAAGATTCATACGTCTTGCGCTCAGAAACCTACCGTGGCGTGATCCTTTGAACCTTCCAGCGTATCCCGATAGATGTCGTCTGCTTGACCTAGAAATGCTTGATCAAAGACGTATTTTACAGCAGGCTACATTTATAGCTAAATTACTCAACGGTGACGTTGATTGCTTTCATCTTCTGTCACTGCTTGATTTCCGTGCTTCAGGTAGGATGCTACGTTAGCAATCCCTGATGCAACCGAGCTTTTATCGTACTCTATATGGCTACAACCAGCCTATTTGTGCAATGGTTCGTATGTCTGTATCCGTCGAGTCCGCGTTTGATTTTGGTATGTCCACACCTCAATTTGTGAATAAAGTAAGAAGGCTGAACCTTATGTAAGATAACGAATAGTTTATTCATTAGGACAACTTTGTCAGATGAATTATAAAACAAATAAATCCCTTTCAAAATTCAAAATATCCGCACCGTAGAGCCACACTCTGTGTTTTTGCTGACGCTACACTCGAGAGCGCTCTCAAGTTTACCTTCACTAAACTATCTATTTTAAGATGGGTGAGCTAAAAACTAAATTGGATTTAACATAAGCATTCTAGGTATGTTTATAGGAGAAGAAAAAGTGCCAAAAGAGCGATCCATCCATAGAAGATATAAACTTTCTGACATTGCTATTGTATCATGTATCCAATAAACCGTACATGCCGATTTGTTTCAGTGTGAACAAATTTTCCAAAGTTTTTTTTTCCATTGCAATGCTGTGAAAGGTTGTATTGACTAGCAAAAGCATCATAAAGCGGTCCGAAAAATAATAATCCCGCTCATTTATTAACAAAAATGAAAATCAGTGAAGTGAAACGATCCTTGCAGTTCAGGCCCGTATGATTCTTAACTCTAAAAATATTATTTGGGTTGACACAATTGAAAAATTAAATCAGATGTTCTACATGGCCGTTCAATCTGACTCATACTTGAATTCCGTCCACTCAAATTCACAGAAACGTAGGTCACTTATATAGTGAGACAAATTTTCCACTATTTTCCAGGAAAACTTTTCAAATCTGAGGAGGTATCTTAACTGAGTAAACTGAGTAAAATTTTCGATGATTTTTCCTATAATCGAGCCGATTTTTGAGGAAAAGGAAATAAATTTTACTCCAGCCTATGAGTGACCTACGTTTTTGCGATTTTATGCAAAAACCACTCAATTTTGGGACGATCTCGTCGGCCGCGCAGCTATTTCGATATAAATGAAAAGAAAATGTTCAGAAAAATTAAATTGATATGTGATTTGAAATTCCGTGTAAGCTACGTGTCACTTTGATTATATTATTCATAAAATTTGCTACGTTGTTTTTAAACAGAGCTTCATATTTGCCGATGAAAGCATCAAGATATATGTCCTCTTTATAAAATGATTTGATCTTAACTCATTGAATTATTTGATGCAAAAATTATGTATCCTTTCATACATTAATTGAACGGGAAAAAAAATCTCTACACAATTTATTCGTTTCCCCTTGATATTACCAAAATTGACGTCACAGAACGAAAATAACTCTTCTCGTATAACTTTGCACATCTATGTTTTAATCTACTCAAAGTGCACCATCCATCCCCACACTCCCCACAAATCAGCGGCAAGTACTTGGCCCACTAACCCTTTCCACATCAAGCGAATCTATTGTTTTCCGCTTTTCATTTCCTTCCCAAACCCTAAAACTGTTCAACTGAAACCTTCTCCTCGCTGAGCATAATTAACGTGAATGGTAGCTGTCAAAATATAACGCGTCATTTTTCACCATCCGGCTTTCGGACGAGCGAAAGAACGAACAAACGAAATGAGCCCTAAACGTCGTCGTCTTCCTTGTAGTTGCATAAAACCCCCGCACTCGCGTTACGTTTGCAGCTTTCCCTTCTAAATAACAGCATATTGCCGTGTCGAAGGATCCCACGATCCGAAACGAAGGACGAGGATTTTATTGTTTTGTTTGCCAAAACAAACCGTTTCAACTTCTGCTTCGACATGATGCTGCCATTCTCGGAGGGGAGCCAATTTCCCACGACCCCCTCCCTTAACGTACAGGGAAACTGTTCGCTACAGTCTGCGATGGGGGAGAAGCAGATAATGATGTTACCAACCACCACCAGTTGCATGTATTTAGGGGCGAAAATCAACCAAGCAAACCGAAGCGGAAAAATCAGAACAAGGCGAGTGGAAATAAATGACTCACCCTTATGCAGGAGGCGGCGTAGGAGGTTCCATCGATGGGAGAGTTTCTTTTCAGTTGAGTTATCTTGCCTTAGTGGTGTTTAAATTTTATGATTTTTATATTTTCGTGAACTGATTTGATTTTTTTTTCTTTTTCCGGGAAAAATATAATTTATATAATGAATCGATTCTTAACGGCTAGAAAAAAAATTGCTAATACTTTTCGTTTACAGGGAATTTACAACTATGTACAGCGCTTGGTGATTGGTTCGATGCGTATAGCGTACAATTGCAACAAAGACCAGTTCGTTAACAATCTCCATAATTATATTTAAAAAAAAGTAGTCACATTTACTCAACAGGTGCGTTTTTCATGGAAAAAAACTCAATACTCGGTGTGAGACTAATTAAGTCACTATTATAGCACGTTCCAAGCTTTCACGGACAGCTGTCGGAAAGTTGAAAACCTCAATCGAAATAATGCTCTGATCTCTTTTTCTCTCTAGATATCACTGGTGTGGCGTTTGCCATCTTTGCGTCTGCAGCAGAACTCTAAGTAGACTCTCGAAATTAGCTAATAAATAAATATTTGCACTAGAAGGTATCGGCTTCAGCGGCGTCCGGTATGACCAGGCTGGGAGATTCTCAGCTGTGCCTTGGGATCGGTTTGAAGATGGTGGGTCCCGTCGGAGATCCTTGGGGTGCTTGATGATGGCCGCTGCTTCCGGACGGAGCTTGGCTCGGCAGGGTGGGCGAGTGCTGCTGATGGTTTTCGGTAGGACTTAACTGCTGCATATGGGCCGCTTGAGCTTGTGCTTGGGCGGCATGGTGCTGGAGGAGGTGCTGGTATTGAAGTCTTTGGTACAGCTCTGCCTGAGCTTGATGATGTTGAGTGATGGTTTGATGCGTCAATTGAGGTGCAACACCGGCGGCTAATAGTCGATCCATACCGAATCCTGGAGCACCGACGGGAATTGATAATGGGAGTTGCAGGGATGGTTTTGGCGCGATGTTTGGGGCGTAGGGAGCATAGCGCGAGTACATCTGTGCCAACAGGGCCGTTTGGGCATGGGCAGGTGATGGGTACATGAATTGGTTGAACTGCGGATAGCCTAGAGTTGGGAACATTGGTCCTACGAGAGATCGCTTGAAGGCAGCTAGGCGGCTACGGGATGCAGCGGTTGAGCGACGGCGAAGTTTTCCGGTTGATCCTCCAATAAATACATCTTCGGCGGAAGGATCCAACATCCAGTAGTTTCCCTTGCCAGGATCATCGTAGTGGCGAGGCACTTTCACAAAGCACTTGTTCAAGCTAAGATTGTGGCGAATCGAGTTTTGCCAGCCTTGTTTGTTATCACGATAGTAGGGAAAGTTCCTCATAATATACTCGTAGATTCCATTCAGGGTAAGGCGTTTCTCAGCACTTTGCCGAATGGCCATCATGATGAGAGCATTGTAACTGTATGGAGGTTTTTCATTACCCTTCTTTTCTCCGTCCTTTGGACTCGAGGCACCATCTTCAGTTTCATCTGATTTGTCCTTATTGCTACAATCCATTGGCGGTGGCGTTCCGGTGACATCCAGGTCCGACTCGGTATCGGTAAGATCATGATCCTGTTCTTCCGACCCGATCGGTGAATGGCACGAATGTGGCGACGGTGATGGCGTATGTACCGGAGAGGTCTGCATTGCTGTTTCCGGCAGAATCGAGTTTATCGAAAAGTTCGACTTTAAAGGCGCACGGGCCATACTAAACATTGTTTGTCCATTCATTGCTGTTGGGTCAATGTTTACCATAGTTCACGTCACTTGTTCTTCCTTTCCAAACTTTGGATAGAGTGTCTTTTAGCAATTTTCACTTGCTCGTTTCGCTCATTGAACTCGTTTTTAAAATCCTTCAATCTTCAATTAAAATCCTTAGCTTTCACTTGTACACCCGGTTTAAACTCGATTGAACCGTATGCCCGAAACCGATCGCTAATTAATAATCACCAAAAACCAGTTTTATCAACGATTCACAAAAAGTCTCACTCTCTCATACACTCGGCGTAACGTGAAGCGCAGAAACGATGTGGTTAGAATGGCTACAAGTTCGTGACTGATTATGCACTTCCCCTCCCGTTGGCTTTTATACGGCCGTTCAACATCCAGCACAAAGTCAACAAAAAAACCCACCGAACCAATCACCGCAAAATGCAACCCCTGCCGTCCACCAATCAGGGTGCCCGTTTTTCCAAGTCTTCCATTCACATGCTCGCTGTGCACTGCCGTGCTGGATGTGTGCGTGTTTGTGCACAAATTCTCTCGCACTCTTTGTTTACTCTTTTGGTCCGCACTTCTACCGACACTTTCTACTGGCACATTGTTCGATGGTGGGAGATTCAAGTGGTGAGAGACTCTCACGCAATCCCGTTGCTCACAAAACTTGAGCGCGCGCGCACACATGGATGCAACTGTGGTTTGCGGCATGGCCACGCCTTCCAATCGAATCGCTTCCTTCGCTTGGCCTGACTGTTGGGCAAATAAGCGTCGCTCAGTTTGTAAACGTCGGGGGTTAAGATGTACAATTTGTTTACACGTTTTGATTCAAACAAGAAATTTCAATATAAATAAATAAAGTTCTTTCCCGTGTGCTTGGATGGGTTCCGTGTTTCGTAAGTGTATTGGTGTGTATTGGAGAGCGGGACAATTTAATTCGCTGCCGAAGAATGGCGAATGGCGATTGGATTGTATTGGTGAACTTCATCAAGAACGGACGGATAGAACCTTGACTTGATGCAGTTGGTGCTGCTGGTGGGTTCTGTGGCTACATGGCCTGGGGGCGATTTTCGCGTACTGGACTCGAAGTGAACGAGAGGGAATAAATATTTTGTAAATAAATTTCGATTGAATTACAAGGGAACGGAAAAAAATCTAGAATGCAGCGCGCGCCCTTGTTTAAGCTCGGCTCGTCGAGAGGATGAGATGTTGTTTTTTTTCTCTGATCGTGCTCTGCTTTGGGAGAATGATTTTACGAAACGTTTATTTAACTTATTAAAACGTCGTGCAGTTTTTACGCCCTGGGTCTGCTGATTTTCGGCGCAGGCGACAGCTGCAATCTGTACCGGGAATTATGACTGCTGGGTGTCATTATATCGGGTGATTAATAGTGTTATAATAAATGGTTTTGAGGTTATGCTAAATTTGCTTTTGTGAACTGATTTTGCTTTTCGGGGTTGGATGTTGAGAGGATATGTTTGAACACGATTCGTGAGAGAACATTATCGAAAGTTTGTTATGTATGTATTTTGGATTCAGTGATGATTTAGGGAAAATAGTTTGGAATTTAAATTAATTTCATGGGCTAGCAATGGTTAAAAAGACATAGTACTATGCTGTGTTTTTCATTCATGATTTTTCTTTTCAACAGGTACTCTTTTTTTTATTGAGAACCGATTATGGCAGTTAATTACTCGCGACAATACTTTTTTTAGAACTCATGTGCTACCTGTTCAAAATGAACATCCCAATTTTCCTATAAGCAGGCAACGAGCTCACATGAGCAAAAATATTGTCAATGTGATTGATGTGTTAGAGTACAACGAACATAGTAGTGTACATATTGACACGGAATGAAAAAAAAAGTATGATTTCAAATTTAAATATTTTCTATCATTTTCCGCTACTTTTTTTTACTACAGCAGCAGATATGGAATGGTCATGAAGTAGCAAATATTACCATAGGCGGCTCCAGACGTCAACAAAAATAGGGAGGGGGTACACTATCCGAACGGAAGTGATTCGAGTACATTCAAGATTCACTTGATCGATCGATGATTTCGATGTTGGTAAACTATAGATTGTAATGTGAAACTTCTTCCTAGATTAATTCATAGTACCGTACTCATGGGGAAAATTGATCAATGAGAATGAGGATTTTCTTATTATCGGCCAGGTCGAAGGGCCAGTGGTTCTATTAAATTTTGCCCACAGGTAGAGTTTATAGTTATATGAATGAAAAAAAAAAATCACAAAATTCGGGGTGGTTTATTTTCTCGAAAAAAAAAAAATAAACTGCATTAAACAGATTTCCCCGAACATCACGTCACGTACTTTTAAAATTGATAATTTATAATTCAAACATTGTAGAAAGAACGTTGTGCAGTGAAGTTATAAGAAAATAATCTGATTTTTTTGGCTGATGATTTTTTTCATGCTGCAATATTTTTCATCTTTCACTTGTGTTTTCGATCGGAAGGCGTTACGGACCATCTACGACGGAGTGCAAATGGAAGACGGAACGTGGATGAGGCGAATGAATCACGAATTACACTAGCTGCTGGGAGAACCATTCAACGTCCACACTGTAAAAATTGGGCGACTACGGTGGCCTGGGAACGTCGCAAGAATGCCTAGTGACAATAGTTCACGAAAGTGGCCCAACAGAGAAGAATAAGAAGAAGAGGCGCGCAGCGGGTAAGGTGGATCGACCAAGTAGAAGGCGACCTGCGGACCCTTCCCAGACAACGAGGCTGACAACGTATGGCCATGGGTCGAGTAGAGTGGAGACGACTTCTTTGAACAGCAGATGTTTTCATGGCCTTAGCCTGATTAATATGGTATGTATGGTGAAAATTTCAGAGTGGTGACTAACTATGACCAAAAATCTAACGGTTCGAAAAATGTTGGTTTTGGTTCTCTGAATTTTTCGAAATTCACAAACTTTGAAAAAAAAAACATAACTCATGAACCAAGTATTGTAGAATCAAAAGTTTTTGATGAAATGATAAAGAAATCATCTCAGCAATCCACAAAAATATAAACTAAAAAAAAGTTTTGCATGAAAATTTTAAAATTTTGTAGCAAAGTTATGTACGATTTTCATTGGAAAATATGTTACCTTCATGTTTATATTTAAAAATGGTGAAACTAAATTTTAATTTAATTGTTTTCATTTGAAAGATTATACTTTCATTCGTCTATGGTGAGAAAACTGTGAAGATTTTTTTTTTGCTCATTTTATTAACTTTTGAAAAGGGAGTATTTTTTATGTAAACCTATAACTTTCCAACAAAAAGTGAGGCCACGCTGCAACAATGAGTGTTTTTGTTTTGCTGTGTCGTTTTCGTTCTAGTGAAAATGATATAAATTTACAATTTTATTTTTAAAAAGTGTTGATTTGAAAGTACAAAAGTGATGTTGAAAAGTGCATTAAGTGAAAATTTTCAAATTCTTATCTTTTGCATGTGGTGCCGACTGTTCTAACCTACGCGTCGTTACGCTCAGCTAAGTTACTTATACTTACTAAATACGCGTCAATCAAGTATTGCACTACTGCTTGATTGAAAGTTTCAGTACATTACACTAGTTTACAGCATTTTTGAACTCGGTAAGGTGATGATCATTTCCAATGCAAAATCCTACGCTGAATTCAATGCCGTGGTCAGAAAAAATTAAAGTAGAGCCATTTTTGAGATACACAAAAATTTTGATTTTTTGAATTTTGGACAAAAGTACGATTACTAAAATGTCAATATCTTTGGAACTAGTACACCAATTTTAAATCTTTTTTTATGAAAATGAAGCTAAATAAATTTGCTATCGTTCATTAGAATATTATGTCTTAATTAAAAATTTAATTTTGAAGTCATTTAAAAATTTACAGCATTTTTTTTTTCCTGCGAATTTTCCATAAAAATCTTGTTTTAATCAACATTTTTAATGGGATAAAAAGATTCAAAAAACCATTCCATAATTTATTCTTAAAGTCCTTTCAAAACCGGAGAAAATAAGCCTTTAATGGACGGAGGTGTATTTGTTGGCCCACAGATCAAAAAACTGCTCAATGATTCCGCATTCAATACAGTTTTGACGCCAGATGAGGAAAAAGCGTGGAAATCGTTCCAGCGTGTTGTCACAACCTTTTTAGGAAATTTCAGAAGCCCAGATTATGAGGAAGCCGTCGATGAATTGCTCAAAAATTATGAGAAAATAGGTATAAATCAAAAATATTGTGTTTGTTACATATAATTAATTTCAAATCCTTTTATTTCCCTGAACACAGGTGTGAATATGTCTTTGAAGATACATTTCCTACATTCTCACATGGATTTTTTTCCCGGAAAATCTTGGTGACGAGAGTGATGAGCACGGCGAACGTTTTCACCAACAAATGAAGATAATGGAACGTCGTTACCAAGGGTTTTGGGATGAAGCAATGATGGGTGACTATTGTTGGTTTCTGATTCGAGAAACAAGTTCAAAACATCGAAGACAAAGTCATTCGATTCTCAATCATTTTTAATAAAACCTAAATAAATTTCTTTTGTATCAACTCGGTTTTAAATCCTAATATGCCTTAATTAAATTGATATGTAGAGAAAAGAATCTCCCATGAAAACTTTACATGCGATTTGGATGCTTACAACGACACCTAGAAAAGGAACTCTAAAGCTGTTGTATTTCAGCAACATTTTTAAGTGTTTTACAAAAAATTTCATAACTTTGACAATTTGCAACCGATTTCATCCATTAAAGGCTCATTTTCTCCAGTTTTTAATGGACTTTAAGAATAAATTATGGAATGATTTTTTGAATCTTTTTATCCCATTAAAAATGTTGATTAAAACAAGATTTTTATGGAAAATTCGCAGGAAAAATAAAAAAAAATGCTGTAAATTTTTAAATGACTTCAAAGTTAAATTTTTAATTAAGACATAATATTCTAGTGAACGAAAGCAAATTTATTTAGCTTCACTTTCATAAAAAAGATTTAAAATTGGTGTACTAGTTCCAAAGATATTGACATTTTAGTAATCGTACTTTTGTCCAAAATTCAAAAAATCAAAATTTTTGTATATCTCAAAAATGGCTCTACTTTAATTTTTTCTGACCACGGCATTGAATTTAGCGTAGGATTTTGCATTAGAAACGTTGGTCAACCACTAAACTTCACACTTTTTATGTTGTTTTGTAAACTAGTGTTATCAATGGTGTATATTTGCATCGATAATGTATTGGAGCGGGGCTTATCATGTGTGAAAACAGCTTCGGAATTAGTTCTTGAAATGGGCTAAAGGGTGTCCACGATGAAATTGCCACACACA